GGGGGGGGAGTACTAGCTCAATTCAAATTGACCTAATGCCAACTATTATGTTCCTGATATGTTAACTATTATGTTACTGATAATTATAGCAGAAGGAAATGTTAATGATCACACATGCTCCCACTTGGGAGTCTATCTGATATCAGCCTTGGTACAAAATACTCTAAGTTCTCAAATATAACCGACATCATCCAGCAATCTTCGGCACCTTTCAGTTGAGGCATTGCGAAAATTGTAATAGTTACCAATTACTGAAAGGAAGAGTCCTAAACCCACTAATTGTCTAATTCCTAGATCAGATGATAAATCTAGCAAAAGCTCATTTTGTCAAAAATTTGAAATATAAATGAAGTTACTCACAGTTCACTCACACAACTCGGCTAACAATGATAAAATCTCATTGAGGTAAAACAAACAGCAAGATCAACCAGATAAAAGCAGCTACGTTACAAATGCACAAAAAAAAAAAAAAATAGAGTTATGAAATGTATGGGAAGATGAGTACATTGCGGGAGATCTCTTCGGCAGCGGTAGTAGCAGCTTTCTGAATGTCCGAAATATAAGAAAACGCAGAAAATCCCCAGCCTCCCCATCCTCCACCGCCGCCGCCTCCTTGCGGTGGAGGTTGCTGAGCTTCCTCCTGCTTTTCCACTATCTCTTCATTCGAAGGCTTCGTCGTGTTTTCCGCCATTTGAGAAGATCGTCGATGCAACTTTATTGGTTTTCACCGCCGGGAACTGGTAACCAAATTGAATCAATTGATAGTCTTTGCGATCTTGTTTGTTAAAGGCAAAACGTGAATCTTACGGCAAAACAGGTAAAGGAGTCAGGACGATGTCGTTTTGTATTACCGTGCACCGCTGACCCGACGTTGGTTTTGTGCACAAAAAATTAGGGCTTTTCTGGCACGTGCTTTTTTAAAAAAAAAAAACAAAAAAAGAAGGCTAGAAATAAGCTATTTTTGTAGTAGTTTACAAGTTATAGCTGGTCTAGTGAAATTTCTTTCAAATCTTTTCAAAAATTCTGATTGTACAACAAAAACAAAAAAGAACTGTACTTCCACTAGTGCATAGTAAATTTTTGGTCTTTGGCGTGCCTTTTAATAAAATAGTAACTTCTAGAATTAAAATAGGTATTTTGACTAAATTATTTTAATTAAAATTTGCATATCGACATGACACGTTGAGACATAGTAAAAAATATTTAAGCAAGGACAAATTTGCATATCCTTTGGAAGGGCAAGTTTCCAATTATTGTCACCGCGTCCTAAAAACGTTAGAATTAAAAAGCTACTAGTATAAATTAACTCTAGCGAGTACATTTTCTAGGATAAATAAACTGATGGTACAGTTACATCATATATCTCTCTGCTTCGGTTATTTCAGAACTACCTGATGGTTATTCCAATATTCTACCAAATTGAGCAAAAATCGTGACTATTTTTTAATAAACACGATACAGCAAGGATCAAACGATCCTATAATAAGTTTTGTGACCAAGAGATGAAATGCAGCGCACTTCTTGCGGCAGTGACAAACTTCTAGCTCATTCTCATTCAAGGTAATTGATACGATTAAAATGCAGGAAACGTACAAAAATAAAAATAAAAATAAAAGTAGACAAAAGTATGTTGAAATTGCATAATGTTATGTTCAATCAACACATCCAAGAAAAAATTTCCTATATCTTTCTGTGTACAGTCCATTAGGGTGCAATGACAAAGCTCAATGAATCGTTAAAATTGACAATGTAAACCAACTTTTCAACGATTATATATGTTACACAGATCGATTTGTACACATTCTTCGAACTAGTTATCGTGCCACTGAAAATAAGAATGGTGGAACCCCTTAATAACCTTGGAAAATTGGTGGCGGTGGTGATGCGTATAGCGAGCCCAATGATGGAGGAAGAGCAACATCCTCAAAAGTGGGTGGAGGTGGAGGTAAGGCTACAGGTGGGGGTGGTGAGTGGATAAGTGGCGGTGGAGGTGACGCTACCGGAGGCGGTGGTGAGTGAACGGGAGGTGGAGGTGACGCTACCGGAGGCGGTGGTGAGTGAACGGGAGGTGGAGGTGGAGGTGAGGCCACTGGTGGCGGTGGTGAGTGAACGGGAGGTGGAGGTGAAGCCATTGTTGGTGGTGGTGGTGAGTGGACGGGAGGTGGAGGTGACGCCACTGGAGGCGGTGGTGAGTGGACGGGAGGTGGAGGTGAGGCCACTGGTGGTGGTGGAGATCGAGCTGGAGGTGGTGGTGAAGCCACTGGGGATGGAGGTGAAGCCAGTGGTGGTGGTGGTGAGTGGACTGGAGGTGGAGGTGATGCCACCGGTGGTGGTGGAGATTGGACTAGAGGTGGTGGCGGTGATGGTGGTGGTAAAGTATTTGGTGGTGGGGGAGGTGAGGCAACTGGAGGTGGGGATGGGGGTAAATAATTTGGTGGTGGGGGAGGTGAGGCAACTGGCGGTGGTGGAGATGTGACCGGGGGTGGAATGGTGGTTTTTGGTGGAGGTGATCTGGGAGTCGGTGGTGGCGATAGGGTTGGAGTAGATACATGAGGTGGCTTTGGTTTTGGACTCGTAGGTTTTGGTGGAGACTTTTTGGGGGTTGAAGGGGTGTTTTCTTTAGGTGGATCCTTTGGACTCTGCCCTTGTGGAGAAAATCCACAATGACCTTTACTACAATCAACAGGGTTGCTCAAAACTGGTAAACATTCCTTCTCTGTCTTTTGATCTGGTTGTTCCTGCAAACAATTTTCTTTGCCTTCAATTTCAAGATCATGGGAGCGCGACGGCGTACATTTTTGGTCCAAGCTCTCAAAATAGTTGTTGGAGAATGTCAAATTGGCCAAGTTGGGCAAGGTACAAAGGTTTTCTGGAACATTTCCCATGAACTTGTTGGATGCAATGTCAAAGACTTCAACTTGCTGCATGTACTTCAAATCCTTTGGTAAGGATCCAACGAACTTGTTTCCGCTAATGTCGAACGTCGTTAGGCTCGTCAGCTTGGTAATTTCTTCAGGTAAACAACCAGAGAGATCATTGTTTGTGAAAACAAGCTCATCTATTGTGCTACTCATTTTGCCAATGCTGCTTGGAATGCAACCAAAGAATTTGTTATTCGCCAATACCACCACTGAAGCATTAGAATTACCCAAATTTTCAGGGATGGTAGAATGGAATCGGTTATTGTTAAGAAATATGGCATCAAGATTCTTCTCAAATAGTGCAGAAGGCACTGAACCTTCAAAATTGTTGTACCTAAGATCAAGATATTTAAGCTTAGGCAATTCCAGCACAACTTCTGGGAATGGCCCCACAAAACGATTGTTGCTGAAATCAATCTCATCTAAAAGCGTAAGATTTTTAATGCTCTTAGGAATGATTCCACAAAACCGATTAGAGTTAATGTGGATAAGACTAACATCAGATAAAAGGCCAAGCTCGACAGGGAGGTGTCCAGCTATGTCTGCATGGTTAAGATCAATGCCAGCAACAACAGAGATATTGGGATTGTCGAGAGCATTGTCACAAAAGACACCATTATAGGCACAAACATTAGGACCTTCCCAGTTAGCCGTGAAGTTTGTTGGGTCGGAGTAAATAGCTTTCTTCCATGCCTGAAGAGCAACATAAGCTTTTTTCAACCTGGAATTCGCGAATGCCATGTTAATGGTCATATCATACTCGCCTTTGTCACCCAAAAGCTGGCGACGAGCAATGGAAGCAGCCTCAACATCAGTTATTGCAAAAGAAGATGAAGAAAGAGAACAGAATGATACAAGGAAGAAGAGAAGAAAAAAACCCGAGGCCATAATGCTTGGATTAAGTCCACTTGGGTTAGGCCCAAGGCTGCTTATAGCAATCTATCTTGCAAATGAAAATGGAGGGTTTTATATGTAGGCAGAGGAAGGAATATTCGTGGTTGATAGGTTATTACTGAAGGTGTTTGAATTTGGAACCATATTTTGCGGAAACTTGTTTGAGCACCATGGAATTTGGAAGGTCAAAATAAACTCAGAGAAAAATTTAAGAAATGAATGAATAGGGGTAATATTTGATCCATCATTTACCTACTAGCATGGAAAATCACCAATTACACGAGTTTCTTTTACTGTCTATTAACAAATGGACATTAATTCATAAACAGGTTTTATTTCTTTGTGCTAGCAAATAATTGCCACATTTTTTCATTAAAGTTTGAAATTTTCACAATGCATTGGCTTTTCTACTGGATTTCAGTTTTTCACTGGATTGCTCTACTCCTCCGCCAAAGCTCTAAAACCGGTGCTTTTATTCTTCCTTTGATAATTCTTCCACTCTCCTTGGCAGATTCCATTTAGATGACAATAAATCCCTCAAGAAAATAATCTTTATTTATGGTCTCTTGTTAGTTCCTAAACCCACAGTTTAGTGACACAAACTACTGACTAAGTGGCTTTCAAGGCTTAATGAAATTTTACCTTCCAATTAAAAGCAAAAATAGATGATGTGAAACATCAAACACGTGCTCCTTGATCATAGGAGTACGTGGAGAGAAAAAAACTACTTCTATTCAACAATTAGATAGGAGACTTGCCTTTACTGTCTTCAATGTCTTAGACTTTAGGAATAATTGGCAGATGCTGAAATTTAACCATGGACTGCCTATTTCCATTTGGTATTTTCCCTTCAACACAGCCCCTTTACCCACCCAAAACCACCACCACCATCAAAATTCTCTCGCCAGGACAAAGGGAGGGACACAAATGTTTTACCCAATACTTCTATGAAGCGGGCAGAGTCTGATGCAAATGACAAGGGAAGTAGCTCTATTCACATCAGGGAATTTCTAAGTAAACATAATACTGATTCACCCTGGCCATTTTAAAATTTTAAGTGCACTAAGAAAAATTAGGCTTATGTTATGCATCACCAAGACTTAAAGATTCTAGTCACTAGTGGTACTAATCCGACGGGGTTACATATTAATCCGCTACAGCACCATGGACCTAACAGGCCAAGATTGCTAATTTGATAAAAATTGAAATTATTTCTAGGATGGATTACAACCTCTCCATAATCGCTGGGATCTATAGATCAAAAATAGGATAGGACGCGATGGCGGAGTCACGTTTAACCAAGGAGTGTCTCGTCGGAAATTACATTGCTTGCTGGGTAAATTTTTTTGTTTTATGCATATTTACAATAAGTTGAACCCCTTAACTTGGGAACGAATATGTTAATAACTGAAGATTACTCCAAATGGTTTCATTTTTGTGAAACAGCTGTTCTTTGTTTTTTTTTTT